CAGTCCCACCTGATGGATGAGCCTAGAAGGACGATGAGATTGTGAGGGAGGGAGGGGTGGAAGCTGGAATTGGAGCGGAGACCCGACTGGGAGCCACCGAAAGTGCCCAATTGGGTGTCAAGACAGATGATGCGACGCGCACGTTTCTTGGGCCGGGAGGGAGCGTGCTGTGATGTGTTCACACTCGGTATATTGGCGAATTCTTGAAATTGGGTACTGTTCCGGTCAGTACCTGCTTGTAATGAAATTGCGAATGTGCGGCTGACCTTGGACCAAAGCTGAGGACAGAGGCTTTTCTGTGGTGGGAGGATGGCTGAGACTGATGCGAGAAGGGTGTATGGGTGATGAATCAAATCACAGCTGTTACCAATGCACCGACCGATATCTGCTTCCCGCTTGCATGCATCCAAGCTTATCCCTAGGCAAGCAAGTGTCCAAACACACATTACAGAGTTTGAGCGTGGCATCACACGGTGGGAGACCGTTTTAATAGCGGCGGTGCGTAGGGTAGACGGTACTCCAAGTCACCCTCCACCACCGTAAGGGGAACCAGTTACACGCGCGGCGTTAGACTCTTGACTCTTGACTCTACGGTACATCTCCAAGAACATGCAATGCAGAGTGGGGGTGAAACGGCCATCGTCACCCTCGCCTGGCCTGTCTTGGCGCGGGCTATGACTCGAAGCGTCCAGGGCAGCGTCTTTCGTGCAGTGCGTATTGGCGATGGGTCACTCACCACCCACTCCGTCTTCGGCCCACGAGCCAATTGCGGCCCGAGGCTCATGCACAGCACCCAGAGCTGCAGCTGTGCCAACCTGCAAATGTGTAAATACGTGATATAATATCTTCATGTTTTCTGCAGCTCGTACTTACATCACATTGTCTCACCATTGATTCTGTCATGTGCTTCCCACCCCCTCCGCTGGGGTTGTTTTCTCCTCGCTTCCCTTGGAGTTGCATTGCATTTATTGCCTTGGGCGAATATTGCTGCAAGCAGCGCAACCCGAGTGCAAACATGGACCTAGACAACCACAACTGCCTCGCCCGAGGAAATCCAGAACACCCGAGCGACAGTTGCACGACATCTGATTTGGCACTCCTCGCTCAAGGACACTCGATTAGTCAACAACGCATATATTGTAGATGCACCTCCGCAGTGCTTGTTACCTATGCTTCCAACTATTTAATCAATCAAGTATCTGAAAGAAGACTCTATTCCAACCATCCGCCTTCACGCCTTGCGCCTTGCCGTCTCCATGAAAGACTCCCACCCAGAATAGGAAACACACGCCTTGATTTTGTCCGAGCAAGCCCCCTTTGTAGTCCGTCGGAACCACTTCGTCGTGCTCGGCCATCTCACATGGCTATCCTTCATCCCTTCGTTTATCGTCAGAATTGATTAATTCTTCCCACCCAGGCTCTCGCAGGAGCAGATTGAAACCAAAAGTAATAAGAAAAAAAAAAAATAGATGGTAGAAGAGTAAGAACCCCCGGGTAAGGAAAAAAAAAAAATCGAATCAGAATCAAAGACCAAAACAATGAGGCAGGCCTCGATCTGCCCGCCAACCCAATTTGCCAAACGCCAAGCCGCCACCCGTTACATCCTCCATTTTCTCCTTCTCCCGTTTAATTATATGTTTTTCCATGCTGGCATATCAAGCCGTCAGATCAGGGCCGGCAACAAGACCGGCCGTCTCTGACATGGAGAATTCGAACTTGTCCATTGTGAAGTCTTCTTCTGGCGTCCGAATACCGATACCGCTATCGTCATGTGCATCTACCCCATGTACTTCGCCGGCGGGCGGTTGACTGTCGTGATTTGCTGGTGGAAAAGGGGCTCGGCCCAGCTGCGGTTGAGAGACCTGTGGCATCTTCATGCCTACGGCGGCATCACTGTTGCCGACTTCTTTCCGGTTCCCCTGCTGCGCAGTCGAGGGATGGGAATCTTGGGCTGGTGCCGTGTAAGTGATTCCCTGCTTCATGAACCCGCCGTGTTCAGCCAAAAAGCAGACCATTTCATCTATCCACACCTTGGTTACCCACCATGTCCCATAGCTCTTCCCTTGAGCCAGAGTCAGGTCTCTCATCACAGCCGTCCCTACTCTTTCTACACACCAGACGATTTCGGAGTGAGAAGCGTATGGGAATCTGTCGGGAAGACTTCGCAAGAAGGCGACCCATTTATCCAGCACGTTTTCTGTTCCCTCGACGGAATTGCCATCAACACTAGGATTGGCCATGCTGGGTCTGTTCCCATCTCTTGCCGCTACTTCACCATATATCGTGAGAGCTTCCACGTCGCTGGGAATTTGAGTCGGGTCTAACAGGTTGCGCATTTCGCCGATAATCAATTGGACGACGTCGTCCATGCCACGTGTCGGAACACACTCTGCAACCTTGCGCACCCGAATCATGGTGATCCAGTCAATATACATTTGGTCGCGGTTCGCAGGATTTGACAGCATATTGGCTGCTGCGTGGGCTGTCAAGTTTACTCGGAGAGCTCGGTCTAGTAGTGCTGCAAATACAACAGCAGGGGCCTCTTTGGCTCGTATCACATGTTGTGGCTGTCCCTGAAAGGATAACCGAACATGAGAAACAAGACGTTCTGAAATATTCCTCAGTGTGTCCAAAATTTGTTTCGGAAGCACCTGAAGTGTGATGTTGGATAAGATCTTCATCAGTCGTTGATACAAAACGAGGTCACATCCCTCAATCCACGGCGCCAGGTCTGGGTGGCCAAACAATTTTTGAACAGGCATAGTTAATGTTCCCTGGAATGATTGATACAGGTGGAAGAACGTCTTCTCTTTACAGAATCGAATGCACTCGACAAGAGATGTACAGTGGGATCGGTACAGAGCGGAAAGAGATTTGGCAGCGTCAGGGTCGGTTCCTTTGGGCAAGTAAGAGCTGATCTGGGGTAGAGGTAGTGCGTCGGAGTGATTAAAGGCTTCGTCTTCTTCTGCCAGGAAGGATAGCCCGAGGGGTGTCTTCGTCGATGCATTTTTCAGGTCGTCCATGGATTCTAAGTTGGGTTGATGGTATATGCTGTGCTGATTAAATGACGGCTTGTGTGCAGCGTGAATTGCCATTGATAATAAATTGGTGGCATCCTCAGGAGAGGGAAGTGCACCGCCTTGCCAATTGGGACCAGCCTGAGGAGGCACGGTGCTGCAACAGATGTTAGCTTGACCAATTGTCATTTGAGTGCAGTATTTTCTTGAGGTTTGACATACCTAGATCGCTTCTCTTGTCTCTTGGGCTCAGGGAGGGACCGAGGTTGTTGAGGCGAAGGTTCCTTGAGATCCGGTTGATCTTCTAGGAGGGTGAAATTGACGTAGTGATACTTGGACTCTCCACGCACTCCCAAACGTCTGGTCTTAAGCCCTGGGAAAAGAACGCGGACGAGCTTGCCGAAACTGGCAGGATTCAGAACTGTTATCCTCTCGGTGGCACAACGGGATGCATAATTGGCATACACCCTTCCGCGAGGGACGGATCCCTTTCCCTTTTCACAGACCGAGTTGATCCTTTGTTTGCTCGTTAGTGTCCTGACTTTTCAACGTGGATTATATCCCTTTGTCCATTGCTTACCATAGCATGGCAAACACTTGGCGTGCTCGTTCGGAATTGGGCCCACGCTCATTTCCATGAAGCTCGGAGGCGACATCTTGCAGACTGCGATGGCGGTTGGCACCAAAGAGTTGTCGCATTTCGAGCTCGTTGTTGGCACTGGACTTTGAGCTGGTGGGCTTTGGAGCACCGACAATGGCTGCCATTGGATCACCTTCCTCATTGTCCTCTCGATCAAGCATCTGACTGTCTCCCTCGGTGAAGCTGGCATTGGGTCCAAACTGCTCGGCAGGCAACGGGTGCCTTGAGATGTTGTCGTGCTGCTGGAATGGGTTGTGGTGGCCCATGTGTGCACTCATCGCAGCGTTCACAGAGAAGTCATGCCCAGCCGCCTGCATGTGAGTTGCGGCGTGCAGTATCATATCCTCGGGCGTCATCTGAGGAGGCGCGCCGAGGGCCTTCTGGTGAGCGGATGCGTCCATCCATTGCCCGGCATACATGTCTTGTGCGTCAGGGAAGCCACTGTGATCCACGGTTGGTTGTGTTGTTGCACTATGAATCGATGCAGTCGACCCACGGGATAGCGGACGTTTTCTGGACTTGGCGCCGTTGCGCTGTGATAAACCATCTGGCGAGGGAAGCGTTAGCAAATAATTGATTCGAGTGCTGCCTCGACCCTGTGGCATCCTGATCGATTGTGTAGTTATTGTTGCCCGAGCTTGACGTACCTTGGTCCATGTTTGAGAACTGTTATGATTAGTATTGTCGTATGGGATTTGTGCTACTCATCAACAAACAACATGGCCCTCTGGTTGTTCGAAACAGAACAGTGCAGCAGCGACGACGACGGGTATAAAATATGTAAAGTATGTAAAATGCCCAAGGTCCGCCTCTCCACGTAAAGAGCTGGGTGAGCTGGCGGCGTGGTTGCTGCTTGCGCAAGGCTTTGTTGAATTATTTGTCGCTTGACTGTTATTGTGCTAATAGGATTGTTTACATGTTGCGAGGCCAACGGGGCGGGAGGAGAAAATCACGGGGCGGGTCAACGACAGTGCGGCCCCTTAGGTAAGCAGGCATGCTGCTCATTAGCGGGGATTCCTGAGCTGCTGGATGAGAGCCAGTGCGCTCCAGATGAACCTCACGCATTCTGGATACCCGTCACTAAGTGCGATGCTCTCCGAGGTGTGTTTTATTTGACCGACGGGGCGCCGTGTCTGGGAGATTCAAACAAACCTGCATCCCCTATCTTGCAGGATACCGCAGAATTAATTCCGCTGGCAGATTGGCTCAAAAAGGAGAAGACATGCATGACTGCCATGTGCAGGAAGACCAAAAAAAAAAAAAAAAGGGCACATGCGGCTACGGCATCCTCAATGCACGGAAGGTCTGGGCTAAAATAAGGGCTAGTTATCAGTCCCGTCGTGATGGCTGCCTCGATGGTCTCGATGCAAGCCCCGGGAGGCAAGCAGGTAAAACACTGTAAGGGACACGGCCAGGTACATGCAACATCTGGGATGATGGCCATCCTGTGGGCGAAATATGGGGGCTGATGTCACTGTTTTTAGTACCATCTACCTGGCTTCGGGCTCGATGGATCTGACGAACCAGTCTGCCGTGGGAAGTGCCACATCGCACATCCAAGCCGAGTTGTACCTTTTGGGCTGAGACTGTTAGGAGGTACTGGCTATCAGCGTATTTGGACACTGGAAAGCGAGCTGCTGCAGGTAGTTCCCTATCAGAACGGCAAGCTCTGACATAACACTGCGTCAGTACCCACTGAGATGACGGTGTTTCAAAGACCTGAAAAAACACACACGTCAGTCCGGCGTCCATTTCCTTCGTCATTCATCATCTGCACCCTCGAAAAACTCCCAAGCCGTCTTCGCTTCACAGAGTCAATTCTCGTTGCTTTTGCATACCTCGATCTCCCCCCCTAGCTTCAAGGAGCAGATACATACTGTACGCTCACCAAACACCCCGCAGCTGCCATCTCGAGGTTGCTCACAATCCTAGAAGCCCAACGCACATACCTCCCACAGCTTTCCATTTTCAAGATGGCCACCCCCCAAGAAAAGGCGCAAAACTATCTTGCGCAGCTCGACAAGGAGGTTTGTACCATTTGACCGAGCTCCCGAGCTTCGCCAACGACCAAATTACTGATAGCGCCCCATTTGATAGCTCTCCAAGTACCCCGCCCTTAACAACATCGAGAAGCAGGTGGGCGTACCCAAGGCCTACGGCGTCATCGGCCTTGCTGCGCTCTATTTCTTCCTCGTAATCTTCAACATCGGTGGCCAGCTCCTCACCAACTTTGCTGGTTTTATCATCCCTGGCTATTACTCTCTTGGCGCCCTCTTTTCCCGCAGCACCGCCGACGACACCCAATGGCTTACCGTAGGTGAACCATGTGCCCTGTGTCGCGACCCATCGCTAACTAAAAGCAGTACTGGGTCGTTTTCGCTTTCTTCACTGTCGCAGAGAGCTTCGTTAACATCGTTTACTGGTTCCCCTTCTACTTCGTCTTCAAGTTTGTGTTCCTTCTCTGGCTCTCTCTGCCTCCCTTCCAGTAAGTCTTTCTTTCGCGCCCTGTCCTGCCTTGCGCCGTCCTCCCGATCTTCTAACTGGATTCTAGTGGTGCCCAGATTGTCTTCCGCTCCTTCATTGCGCCCACATTCAGCCGATACTTCGCCCAGCCCGGCGCTTCCAACCTGCGCTCTAAGGCCGAGGGATTCAGCAAGACCGAGTAATGTGTCTCGAGGTTTCCTTGGCTTGGCCTGGTCAAGCGATCACATGGGTGTGAGATGTGATCGCACATAGCCCGACAATCCCAGGCTAGCCCGCTCTTTTCTCTACGATAATTGAGCAATGAACGACGAATGATTCCTGGCGTTGTCTGGGGTCGAATTTGGACTTAGATGAAGGGAAGGAAGTATCTGTTACATCAGAAAAATGTGGTCATTCGGCCTGCCCATGTCTATTTCGTCTTTGTCCCATTTTTTTTTCTTAATTGGACGGGTGTGATTTCAGAGGGGCGCTTTCCGAGATCATGAAATCATGTTATGAATGCTCCGGTGGAGGTGGTGTTGGAGATAGCATTACCAGTAATGGAATTCAACTTATGTTTTGTTATCTACGTGCGCATCACTCCAAGGAATGTCCGTGCTTGCGATCCCTCCCATGTTTCTCTCCACACGCGGGTCGCTCCAAGCTGTTGTGCATTGTCATCGTGTCGATCAACCCCAAGGTTAAACAGGCCATGAACTTAAAATTGGAGCATGCTACTGCATCATTTTCACATTTCGCAGAGGACAGATTTACAACATGTCACGATATTGCCCAACCCATGGCATGGATATACACCAGCGATCTATTTTGGGGGGCTGTGCGCCGCCAGGAACATCCACAGGGATTTAGCTGTAAATGTGGCTGTGCTGTTTCAGTGGCTGGTGCCTGCTTCAGCTCCAGGACCCCTGAACATCTTGATGACGCCGGGGGGATTCCACGCCGCTGTATTGCCTTGTGCAACTTCCTCCAAGTGCAACTTGGCATTTCTTTCTATTGCCAAAATTGGCATCTTCTGTTCGCGACTTGTATCTTCTTGACGCCCTCGATCTTAGAATGGAAGCTTCCGATTGGTGAGAGTTCGAGACTTAGCATCAGGGTTGCCTCTAACCAGCCACAAAAGCACCCCCCAGAGTATGCTCTCGTGATGGCCTTAAGCCCCCTCCAATCTCGCCTGGTGGCCTCGCTGGGTGCATCGCTTCTTCTCCTTGCCATATATCTCCTTCTTTTCTCGCCACAACTTGCATCGGCAACGGAGTTACCGGTCCGCGATGGGTTCGACCTGGGCCTGAACGGCCGTTTGGACGATGAACAAGCCGACATATTCGAGCCGGCATACCAGCCAGATTTCGCGGCTTTCGATCGGAGCATTATCGGCCGAGCGCCATCTGGTCTCAAATCGCTGGACAACAACCACGTCAAAAATTGGAACCTGAACCCGGGGGAAACTGTGTGCTACGTCTTCTCTACCGGCAGCTCGAGAACCCAAACCACGCAGGTTGAGGGAACATCTACAACAGCGACGGCGACGGCGGTAGGCAAAAGGGATTTGGATACCGAAGCTATAACGCCTCGAGCTGCCAAGCGGAAAATATACGTATCGGCGAACACTTGCTTGCAGCCCACGCAGACGAACAATGGCACGAAGGATCGCCTGCCACCGCAGCTGATACTTGCGGCCAGCACATCTGGTGATACCGGCTGCTCCCAGCCCACCAGCAACCAGCCCAACCAGGCCAAGTTCGACGAAGGCAGTGCGACGGTAATCATCGAGGCCGAGGGTGACATCTTCATCACCGTCACAGCGCCAAACGTGACTGAGGGTTTCGATGGTGTGTTCAATTTCGAGGTTGCGGCATCCACGGATGCTTACTTCCACAGCTACGATGGATCCAACAATATCACGTTGGATTCGAGGTTGGTTCATAGCGATGCACGCGGGGTACTTCTTTCAACAAACGCCTTGACGACTAATGAAAGCGAATATAAGACTTTTGAAAAATTGGACCCGTTACCATACAAGCTCTTTGTGGAAAACACGGATCTGATCCTTTTTGATGGGCTGAGAAAGTCTATCTGCGGAATGAAGAACGCAGCCAGGTCCTTTACTGATGACTTGGTCACAATGTCAATGACCCCCGGAATATACGAAGGTCCGAGGCAGCGATTCCGGTTCGAAGGGTTGAATTCCAGCTCGTCTTACCGAGCGATTCTTGTTCAAATGGAGGCTGGATCGGAGACAAAGACAGGAAAAAGACAGAATGGAGACGATGACTCCAGCAACGACTCAAGAAATGGAAAGATAGGAGGAGGCGGCGTTGTGTTTGGGGAGCTATCTTTTGACACATCCTCCGACAGTAAGTTTTGCCAACATGGAAAAATGTGATGTTCGAAAAACACCTGCTAACGCCGATCCTAGAGTCGACATGCAAAATCGTGTCTAACCTTGACTTTTGCGGCAACGTTTCCTGGGCTGTGCCCGGCAACAGCTCACTTAGCAACGCTCAAATAGGTCAGGCGTATGATGATTACGCAAAGAGCATCTATGAGAGTTTCAGGAGAGTCATGATGCAGGTGCCTTGTGAGGAGGGAAACGAGTCTCGATACTCGCTCATTAATTCTTGCGACGAATGCGAAGAGGCATACAAGGAGTGGCTTTGCACCGTGACCTTCCCCCGATGCGAAGATTATTCCAGTTCGACCGCGGGTCTCAAAAGGAACGTCAACAACCCTTTCCCTGATGGGTCGATGGTTGACGAAGCGGAGAGAAACAACCTGAGCAGTTTGCACAAATGGCACAACATGTCAAGGAACCTATGGATCGAAGAAAATGTCAAGCCAGGGCCGTACAAGGAGGTTCTGCCTTGCGACGAAGTTTGCTTCGAGGTCGTAAGGCGCTGTCCAGCCGCCATTCAGTTTGGCTGTCCGAAATGGCATTACCCAGGCTTTGACGGGAGCTACGCCATGCGAGGCGGAAACGAAGAGACTGGCCTGACGACGTGCAACGCTCTCGGCACGTCCCAGGATACAGTGGGCATGGCACCCTTGTTGCAGCCGCAGGTACTGGGGATTTTCTCCATTTCACTGCTCGTATCCTTTGCCTTATACTTATAGCGGATTTACGACACTAGAACTGGGCTTCACGATCATCATTCATCAGATCTTGTGGGATCTTTATGCTGGCATGAATACACTGCTTTTCTCATTTTGGACATTCAGAACCAGGTTATTCGGGAGCACACAAAAACTAGCATGTAACTGTATATTTAATTTCGAGCGCTGGCAAACATTGAGTGTGCCGCATTTACCGGCTCATATCTGGTATCATGTAATACAGGCCCATTGAAGAGCAAAATATCATACAAACAGTGAGAACCACTGTGCTTCGGCCTTCCATTATGCTATTTCAGCAATCATGTCGATGAAGATGTCTGAAGGAGGTGCGCCTCTCACGTCAAAACCCGGCTTTGGTCGTGTAATGTGTCAAGGTGCCCGTTACGAACCCTTTGCCTTGCTGTCGGACGCAGTCTTGTTCTTATATTCATCCACCTTACGTTCTAGACCTTTTATGGTTTCTGCAAGCGGGAGAGCTCCCAGTTAGCGACATGGCAACTGCGCACGGCTCACAAGGTGCCAGCATGGCGGTCGTAGCTCACCGGCTGTGTCCGCTATTATCTCGTCCGTCTCAAGTTTCACCCAGGCCCAGTACACGAGCTGATAAGTAAGAACGGCGCCGAGGATGACTTTGGCAATCGGTCGGGTAAACGTCTTGTAGAACTGGCTCTGTATCGTTCGAGCAATTGTACATTAGCACCAGCACAAACAGCTTTTCGCAGCGGGCGAGAAAGCATTGATCTCGTTCTTACGGTAGGGTTCGGAGCTTTCGTCGAGTACGGGCGCGCCGTGCGGTATATGGGACGTTGGAGCAGCGCCGAGCGCAGCATGGGTATTCGCGGCGCCATGGTTGGTTGTGACTGGATGCGGTTATCGAAAGAAGCATCAACAACTTGATGCACCGTCCTTCCTGGGAAGTTTAAGCTTAGGTGTGGCGGTGCACCCCGCGTTTTCAGCCACACCCACCATGCCTTGATCAAGAGTCTCCTTTCTATAGGGAGATCCCGATGCATTACATGTCGGTATGGCCAAATACATTCATTTCAGGTATTTTTATAGCCATGGACTCGAAAGCGAGCACTGAAAACTGCGAGCGTTGTCATTTTGGCCCTCTATTACTTGGAAACACATTCGCTCACTGAAATGGACACAATAGCATCTAGTCGCCAATGACGTCTAGCTGGCAGGGGTTCCCTTAGCTCGCCATCTCGTCGTTCCTTCTACAAAACTGCTGTGACTCTGGGATCATGTCCCCAAACCGCGACAGAATTCCGCCTGGTCGTGTTCCCACCAAACTTTCCTCAGTGCTCCAACCCATCCGATTTGTCCATCATCGAACTACTGCCTCTGCTTTTCTCTCGGCCTTTTCATCCCATGCATCTGTCACCCTCTTCCACTCGTTTCTTGTAGGCATCTCCTCGTTTCACAGGGTTCCAAGCCTCGCTCACCTTGTCGTCTACCCATTTGAAGCCGTAGCCAACCTCATTGACCCTCTGCAACATATCTGTCACAATGTTGAATTTGGGCATCTTGTCCTTTGACCATGATGGTAATGGGGGCTGGAAACTCAAGCCCATGACGAGCGGGACGCTCCCTGCGGCTTTGAGTGCGTTTAGGAGTGATGCTACAGTATTGATAGCCAGAGCCGGGTCTGTCCTCGAATCATACTGACCCCAAAGATTTTTGGGCACTTCGGCGTTGCAGTGAAAGTCGAGGTTTAGTTGGAGCCCTCCAAGCTTGAGAATCCCCTTAAACTTGAAGTCGGAACCGCCATAACCATGACCAGGGCCAAAATAATAAGTCCGAAAATATTGTCATCACTCCTTCTCTCACTGGCCCTTCATCCCAAAACCTGGCAAGGTGGGCAGCTTCGAGACCATCGACTGTGCCTTTAAGCGTCCACTCAGATACGTTCTCTCCCCGGGAAACCGCTCCTGCTCCCTCCCTACTGCTATAATTCAGACTTCCACTTATTGTGCAGGGTAGATTTGTTGATGCCCCCGGAGCCAGATAGAGGAGTAGGCTATAATGTAGACGGGCATCCCAATAGGCGTTCTCACCCCATGTGCGTCGAATAGAGACCCCAAGGCTGTCCAGCGTCAGCATAAGGATCTTGGAGGAGGCTTTCCCGTCATAAACGCAGCTGACAAACGCCTCAAACGACACTGCCGGTCATCGACCGAGAACCTTGCCTTTGCAATATCTAACGGAACGCCTACGGGTAAAGTGTTGATGTTCAGAAGTTTCCGCAGATCAACCCTGTCAATGATAGTGGTCGGGTTTGTTGGTTGTAATTGTAAATGCTTCTCCCACAATGACATTGCGTGTCGATAATCGATATTGTTTAGAAAGCAAGGCGTAAACCACAAGTCTTCCTCCAATGAGACTCCACCTGGTTTGCTCCATCTAAAGTTCAAACACAGGGCATTCTCTGCTTGGGATCAATGGCCGACTCTCCGACTTTGAAGTCCACTTGAAGCGTGGTTGAGGCTCCTTGAACCTCTTTGAATTTGCCTTGCTCATCGTGTTCTAGGGTAACTTCAATTACACGAGGACGAGCGTTCTTGAGCAAGTCGGCTGCAGCATCCAGGCATTTCTGGCAAGATGCCCAGACGCTGTCTTGGTACTTTTCTACGTCAATTTTGCCGTTGGGCTCCCCCTGTCCCCCGATGGATGTCGCCGCCCATCGAAGAAGCTGTGCGAGTTCGCTCTCCCCTTGATCTTCAGCGTCCCTCTGGAGGCGGAAGGTGACGAAGTCTTCGCCAATGATGATGAAGAGGTTGAACGCATATTTGGCAACTTCCACACTGATGTGGAACATTCTCTCTCCAAGTACGAAAGCCTCACTGGTATCTGAGAGCCTCCCACTAGCATCCCCTCCTCAGATTCCATAATCGTGGGCCCCTCGGGTTCGTCTGTGTCGAGGCGACAATAGATTTACCGTCATCGGGCTAGAACAAATCTCTACCTAGAAGGTTATGGTTGCCGACGCGTAGTCGAAAAACGTCGGGATACCATTTGCCGTGATGAAGGACCTGGATAAATCTTGCATCTTCCTCGACGGTCTGAAACCGACTACTAACATCTGGATATTCGCAATTCTGAGGATTGTAAATGTCGCCCCGGTACGGGGCGTACAATGCCGAAGTTGGTGTGATATTATTTACATCATCCTCTCCGTAGGTAGCGCGTAATATGATGGGCATATTATTCCACCCACAGTTGTCTGATAGCAATCCCATGACACCACCATAGTGATTTTCATCCTAGCGAGTAATGACAAATGCATTAAAGAGCAGTCGATTCCGATTTCCTTGCTTCCCACCCTTCCTGGTTTGACTGTCTAGGCAAATAAAGTCATCCTCGATGTCCTCAATCATGGAGTATATTATTTTCTCAGCTCCCTCCTATACTGATTAACCTCCATCTATCATAACTGCTCGCACGACTTGCTTTTCGCCATGGACTTGTTTTGGCCGGAGGATATGGATAGCCGCATCGCCAAGAGCAACTCCTATAAAATATGAGCTCACGTCCTGAAAGGCTGGACCGAAAGTTGGAGAGCTAAGGCGAGACAAGGATACGTGCCTGGACTCTATGCATGAGACGGCTTCACTAGTCCGCGAAGACTCAATCTACTGAGTCTAGAAGCAGACAAGGTTGCGTCTGCATCACATGGGCGGTCGTCAATGGGCGGCTGTGTTCGAACACTGGCATATTTCAGCTTTGCATCTTAGTCCGCGTTCCTGTGGGACTGTATTGTCAATAATCGAGCAAGGCTAATCCAAGTTGATTGAGACGAATTGCCGTTCGATCGTCCGAGGCGTAGATGACAATCCGCTTTTGGATCAAAATGGCCGGGGAGACATTTCATCAGAAGCATAAGCGCCGGATCTTGGCCAAAAACGAACTCCAACCCGTCCGTTTTTGCCGACCGGGGGGCTATATACTCTTGTAGAGTGGTACTTGATGAAGATCGGGGGTGAGGAGAAGAAATATGGGAAGCAACGGTTTGGACATGTATTAGAGATGGTAGCTGGCGTAGTTGCTAATGATGTTGCTATGTAGGAAATCCTCGAGAGATAATCACTGTTGAAGATACCATGTTAAATTCCTGATAAAGGAAATGACGGCGGTTTGACATCTTCGTCTCCCATATCATGTTCCTTATGATAACCTGGGGGCCTTCTCCGGGATCATGAACTCGTGTATTCTTCACCTTTCTCCTTCAGCAAACCAGTTTTCTCCTTACAGTGCAAGAGCACTGTTAAAGAAAGTGGATTTCGCCCTCGCCATCTATGTATATAAGATGTGGTCGGCGGCTGTGGATGGAGCTAAGCTCGGGTGCATGAACTAGCTGACGCCGTTCGAGAACATGCATCTCATGACGGGGGCTTGGCATGTGCCTGGCGTAACATGGCTGCTCATGACCATCTTTTCTCCGTCTTCCCAAGCTCCCCATAATTCGGATTCTGTCCCGGTTGAATGCTCTCAATAGTCCCCAACTAGCAACCCATGTATTAGCCCGCAGTGTTGCAACACCAAAACACCAGACCACAAGTGGCATATCCGTCCCAGTTGCTTTTGGACTTCCTGAATACAGCGTGAGGGCCTCCAGCTGTTCGTCAATTGTGTTCGAGCAATCGGTCTCCTCCAACACCAACAACTCCATGTGTGGCTGCCATACTTGCATCTTCACCTCAAAGCACAATGCCGTCCTCGCACCGCGAGACCCGACGGTGTGCTGCTGGAAGAATGGTGGAATTGGTCAGGGGCTTGAATCAGACGAACACACCTCTGCATACCCGAGGCGGCGATGCTACTACCGTCAGCACCAATCGATGGTGCTATGATGATGATATCCATGAAGATGAACCGGGGGCCTGCATCAATCCGTTGATATGCTCTCGCAGTCCTCTCCCCATATTGCCTCCAGGCTGCCTCCAATTCTTACTCAGAAAGAACTATACGACCAAGGAGCGACCGGATCAAAACCGCGGAGAAGGGCTCGGGAACCAGGTGTTTAACTCTCACGGCACTCTGACTGCGGTGTTCAACTGACAGACTCACACTCTGGATCCAACCGCTTCTGGCCAGTATCTTGTGAATGAGCTGAGTGCAGGGATGAAAGAGTACTTTGACGACAAAGAGCCGAGATCCGCCGTAACTGCTTTGCAGCTTAATGATGACATTCTGAAATTGGATATTGGTAATGCAAACGCGCAAGCCACGCCAGCCCCCTTTTCACTCTTTCAATTCTCCATACCCTCCGAAGCCACGGCCTTGGAGAGCCTCGTTCCGTTGACGGCAAGACCGCGGGTGACGCCGGGTTTTACCCCTCGCCAACGTGAAGACTCTCCCACCCGCGATGCAGTTCTTCTAGAGGAATATCGGCAAGCTCCCGAAAATTGTCGCGTCACCATCCCCGGTTCCTGATCCGCTCGTTGCCAGTCCTCTCGGCTTCTCGCTCAGGATCTACCCCGTACGCAGCGTCACCAGGGAGTTCGTGCCCTCCAACACCGGCATCCCCGTCGATTTGGTCTTCTCCCTAACCTGGCCCATCAAAGGGCGGTGGTCGAAGCGGCTCATGAGAATCTTCGTCGCCGTCCCGTTCGGGGACATGCCGGAAGACGACAACAACCCCGAGGTCGATATTCCACTGCTGGCGCAGCATGCAGACCCGGCCCCCATCATGCTGAGCAACATGCGCCTCAATGTTCTCAGGCGGTGGGGCGATGAAGATGGTAAGCAGCTCCGTGGCAAGGTTGTGTTTGAGCTTGTCAGAACCATCAAGGACGCGAGCTTCCGGGTACCGAGGGCAGAGGTTGCCTAGTATGGTGGGGTCAAGGAAAGAACGTTATGTCAACGTGTTCTACGACTTCCAGGAGGAAAATGGAAAAACAAAGAGGGAGACGTCATGGTATGATACTGGTGCTGTTGTCCTGAAGGGTGGTGTGTGATGCAAATACCCAGCGTAGATCAATGGGGGTTAACTCGTTGTTGAGAATGTCTTGAAGGTGTCAAGTATGCATTGAGCAATCACGTGCGAGGGGCTCCATCTTCAACGCCCCAGCCCAGAATTGAAGCCAGGTTTATCTCACAACAATGAGAGAGATACATGTGACTCTTATTGTAAGGGGGATGAGTCGAGTTTGGTGGTGGAAATGCAAGGAGTAGCTGGTGGTCTTAGGCTGGGGTGATGAGTCAGCGGGACCATAGCTGCCTACTGCTCACCAACTGGTGTTGTCATTGGCTGGACCACCTGTAACCACATACCTAATAAGGCATGCTGTAATTACATAGCGTGCTAGGTGGCCTGTGTGGGCGACGGAGAGCGCGGTAGGCATGTCCCGTTCGTCTTTCCTGGCCCCTGTAGACGACACATGTCCAATCCCGGGATCGTCACACCTCTTCCGCGACACTGTGTCCCCTTCGAATTCCACCTCGCTGTCCCTTGGAAATCAATCAATTGATCGCTATATAAGACGAAACCGCCCCTTCTACCCACGAGGACAACGTCTCTTGACCCGAAACTACTTTTAACAAATCCGCAAATTGTCCCTTACACAAACCAAGCACCATGGTATGATTTGCTATAGCTCCCATGTCGCATGCTCGAAGCTGACACCACAACCACAGGCCCAGACACTCGAGCAGCGCCGCCGCAACGCCAAGTTCGCAAAGAACCAGGAGAGCCGCATGGGCAAGTCTGAGGACCAGATCAAGGCCCAGAAGGCCAAGGAGGTGCACAAGTCACCCATCTCCCTCATCTGGGTTGGTACGCGGACTCCCTCCTGTCCAACCTCCTACCCCATAACCGATCGCTAATCGCCGTGCGCAAACTTATAGTCGTCCTGGGCTTCATCATCTTCGGAGGTCTGATATTCGAGGCCTTCGAACACTTCTTTGGCAAATAAACGACGAGAGCGCGTTGATCTTTCCTCCGCGAGGGAATGTGGGATAGCAACTCAGAGAGCGCGATCGACGGGCACCCTGCACCGACCGAACGACCCGAGTCACTGGCCGAGCGAATTGTTTCTTATACATAGGGTGGAACTAGGACCTCCTATCTGTGCCGCCCAGGCGATTATTTTGTTTTGATTGCGAATTTCTTCCACTATTGTTTGTTCCTTGGGATGGGGAATCTTTTAAACCTTCTTGTACTTTGATTAGAGAGAACAGCAGACGGCGGCGCAAAAGGTGAAAATGGAGAATGGGAATTGTCAAATGCTCATCAATTCAATGTTAAAACTAGGCATCTACACCTGGTCACTTTCGTGTTCCCTTTTTTCTCCGTATTACTCAACGCCGTAGGAGCCGCCAAATGCACCGTGGAAGGAATCTGATATCTCAGGAAACATGGACAAATTTCTCTTGCGATGTGATTGCAAGGAACTGGGTGGCGAGCGGGTTCTAATGTGACTTCTATGCACCTAGACCACGACGGTGACCGCCGCCCTCGTTCTTGGCCCGCATGCCGTCCTCGAACTGCCGTTGCAAGTCCGCCTCGGCCTTGACTGAATCCAGGCTGTTCTTGGGCTTGCTGCCAGATGCGGAGGAAGGAGCTGCCGTTGCGCCCTTCTTCTTACCGCCGAGAAGGCGGAGCATCTTGGCCTGTCTTGAAGCACCGCCATCCAGTTGCTCCACGTTCCAGGTGGCCTCGGTTTCTTCGGCCGGCTCATCGGACTTCTTGTCCTTTTTCTCCTTCTTTTCCTTTTTTTGCTTCTTCTCCTTCTTGCTGGGATGTTCTACGTCCTCGGCAGGGGTCTCCTCAGTGCCGGCAGCTGATTCCCTTTTGCGCTTCTTCTCCGACTTCTTCGATTTCTTGGTTTCAGGTTCATCTTCCTCGTCAGCCACGGCAGGAGCCGCCTCGGACTTCTTCTTGCGGTCCTTCTTGGCTTTCTCGACCTCAGGTCCAGCTTCAGCCTCAGCTTCTTCGCTGTTGGCTGTGGCCTTCTTAGCCTTCTTAGCCTTCTTGGATTTGGACTCGGTCGGTTCCTGAGCACTACGCACGGAGGCAGCATCGCTCTCTCGTCGCTTCTTCATGACGATCTCGTCAGCCGGGACGTTTTTCGGGATCGGAACCTCGGCCACGGGGGCACCCCCATCCTGGGAAACGCTAGTATCATCGCTGGCCTCTGATGAGGTGTCGGAATCGTCATCGTCATTGCTCTCGACAGCAAGATCGTGGGCCTCCGCTTCATCTTCTCCTGACTGCCCCTGAGCCTTGCGCCTCTGTGATCAAAGTATAAGTTTCAATGGACACGCCTGTAGGGGGGAGGGGTGGATGACTCTTTCCGAACCCACCTTGTCAGCATCAACCATGGCCTGGTACTGGGCGGCCGCCTGCCGTGACTTGGCGAGCAGCTTCGCTGCCTGCACCTCCAGATTCTTGGATCGCTGGAGAAGCCGGTCCCGTTTCCGCTCAAGCCTCTTGGGCTGGTTCTTCTTCTCCTTCACCGCCGCCTTGATTTCTGCCTTGCGCTCCGCGGTCCATTTGGCCGCGGGGGCCTTGTTGGCCTTGCGGGCACGCTTGGCGTCCGCCTTTGCATGCCGCTTGGCCTTGCGCTCCTCAGTTCGGATCTTGCGGAGCTCCTCCTTGCGATTGGCAGTTGCTCCTGTACGTAGAGACATGGTAAGACGGACGTATTCATTCGACATGGGGGGGGGGAAATGGAGAAAATGTTCTTCAAGACAGGAAGTCGGGAGGTGAAACTCTCCTTGGCCGAACTTTTGCTGTGTGAAGATGCACCGAGCTGGATGGAACAAGAATAGGGCTTACTGACCTTGCGGAGTGTTTTGGGATTGATCGGCGTCCGGAGACATGGTGGTAAGAGTGAAATCTGCAAACACTGCTGACTGAAAGGTTACGAATATAAAGCCGCCCAAGACGGGAAAGGTGACGAGGCGTGGATACGGCGCGTCGGAAGCTCAGGATGAGAGCGACGTTGTATTGGCAAAAGGGCGTGCGCGGCCTCCGCAAAATAAGGATGTATTCGTCTTATGTGCGCCAATTTATCTCCGAGGAGATGAGAATGATATGACGTGACGAAGGGGGTGTGCAGATTCTGATTGGCGACCGAATCTGCGGCAAAGTAATTGAAGGCAGCCTACTTGGTGAGCTTCAGCAACGAGGCTGGTGATGAACTTTTTTTTTTCTGCCGCGATTGATAGCGCCTCGAGGTGGGCTTCTGGCGGGCGGTGTGAAGCTCCCGCCCCACGCTCTGCTGATCCTTCAACGGAACTGGTCGCGAGATCTTCGGTAGCCTGAAACTTGGGGACGCATCAAGGGTCCAGCTATCTACGCTCACCGGCCTATCTTTAGCATGTAATCCTCATGAAACTCGTGAGGCAAGCACGCGACATGCAATCACGGTATCATCAACCCGCCATCAGGAGCTCCATTCGAGCAGCCGTGTGGGATGCAGCATACAGCGGCCGGCGGTACCTACCTATACGAATTACAGGGCCATTATTAGTGCGTCTGTCGCTAACCTAATTGCTCCCTGGCAGCGAACTCGGTCCCGGCGCCCCGCCATTCCCGCCTGCTCCCCACTCTTCCTGGCGGCAGTCGCCCAAGCCGAATGCCGTTCCTCCATCAAACTGACTGAGTTGGAGGCCACGGACACTGGCCTAGTACAGAACAGTAAAGGGTCCCGTTGGCCTTTTTTCCCTTGGTCTGCTTTTGGACTGCTCGCCCGCCGATCATACCGAATTCTAACCTTCCAGGCAAGAAGAGGCGCTGGGCGCGTAGCTGAAAGTGGCACCCTCATGCGTGTCTCGTCCTTCTTGGCCTGGCCCGGGCGAGCCTGAGTGATCAATCCTCTGCATCACTGCGACATCCCATAATAACACCGTCACTCCCATGCAGGCGCAAGCGAGGCGGTCCGTGATGCTTGGGCCCCGAAACATGCTTCTCTCGTGCGATGGCCCAGCTTTCCATCATATCACCTTGACGGTCTCATGCCAGCAACCGGGATCCAGATGTCACCCGGGAGCCAAACCTTGGACGGAAGGGGGGTGGTCAGGCGTCGACCGGCAACCCGGGCGAGGGTGTTACGGAGCGCAGTCTCTTACGCGTGTTTACTCATCTGCCCGCCCCCCGGAACCTACCAGAGTCCCTTTTGTGTAATCGCCCTCTCAGCCCTACCAATGTAACGGGTTGAGACCGCAATGGGAGCGCTATACGTGTATTGGACAAGTCCCGCGAGGGCCACGGCAGCCTAATCCCACGCAATGAGGCAATACCCTGGGAGGTCGGGTCAGCTCCCGCCTTGTACTCGGGGCTTGGTAACCACAAGTGTTTTTTGACGCTCGTCGTTGTCAAGGAGGCTGGGTCCTGTGATGGTGGTGGGGGGGCCTTCCGACTCGCATTTCCAGAGAGTAAGTAATATGCAGGCAGGCCGTGGTGTGGATCCGGAAATCGGAACCTGTCACATATTCTCGACGAGCACAGCATATAGGTGGGAAGGGTGCGGAAGGGGAGGTACTCTTTCCCCTGTATAAGGTGCGGATTTGTAACACAGACGAAATATGAAAGACAGGCCGACTGGTGGAACGGTGCCTGTTGCCATCTTTGAGATTATCTCCGTACTGGAGGGTGGCCATCCATCCCCCCCCCCTCTCCGAACAGTCTGGGGGAACCTTGCCATGCTGGTACGTCTTACCATTCTCCCCGTACCTTGCTGTCATCATGCCAAAGAGTCGAGATGGCCACCTCGGCCTCATTACATACTGGGGACCGCTGACCTATGGGAGTACCCAGAGCAAGGCTCGATGGACGGTTAAGCACACCAAAAAAGGCCAACCCTTGTAACGTGATGTGATGAATCTCTTTTCTCTGGATCTCTCTCACCATTGGGTGGTGGTGGTGGCGCCTGCGGCGAGGATCGACCAAGGCGAGGAGGCCCAAAGCAATAGAAGAGAGACAGAGGCAAAAAGAATATGAGACAACGTTTGTGTTGTTCTTCAAGGCAACTCATTCCATACCTCCACACCCTTCCAACGGACCCTTCTCACACCGCTCGCCCCAAGCAAGAGGTCATGTCCCGCTCCGGATCTGTGGAGCTGCATAGGTACCTAGCTTAGCTTCCCTCCTTGATCCGAAACAGTGGCTGGCGGGATATGGCCGAGATGTGGAGGGTCGATGCTGGCACAAGGCCTACGGGGAAAAAGAAGAACAAGGTAGGTAGGTACTACGCAGAGCGCCATGACAACGCCGCTCACCGTGGCCGTGGTAGCTGGGACGGGAACCGTATTGGTGGACGCCTGCTTCCCATCTGCAGCCACTTTACACAGCCCGCAATCGCCGACATTCCCGCTCCCCCAGACATCTTCGTGGCGGATTGGTAATGTCAGGTTCCAGGGCAGCTCTGCAGCTTGGTCCGTCGCTTTGCAGTTTCGTCCGTCCCTCATCACACGGGCAAGTCCGAAATCGGAGACATGAGGAAGTATTGTAATCATTCTAGTTTGAAGGCCCTTTGTGATGCCCGCTCATAATACTTTAATTGCCATGTTTCTATGGGAGTGAAAAAAAAAGAAAAGAAAAACAATCCCAAAAAGCAAGCAACCGGGTCTTGCTATACGGTTCCCCTTAATGTAAATCTGCCGTTCTTGTATTATGTATTCAAAATCACCCACATAATCAAAGGAAGAAATAAGGAGGAAAAGGGGGCTCATAGACAGGAGTGAGCATATCAAAACAACAAGCCAGCTTTTACGTCTGTGCTCAGCAGGGAAGCGTATCAGTCGTATGTTTGTAAGTATTATGCTGTGCTGTGCAGCCATTGACGTAGGTGGAAGGAAGTTTTTGCCTCCCCCCCCCTTTAGAACCGCAGATAACCCAAGAAAGTGCCGTGAAGCAAAAGAGGCTAAGGTGAAAAGCAACTCTTATTATTGTAACTATGTCATACTTGAGATCCCCCTGGCGTCAGCTTAGGCGCCACATCTGCCTAGCGCGAGGAAACGACTTACACGATGGGGCCCGTCCGTGGAGAATCTCATTGGGGTGTCAGCGGGTGACGAGGATACGGTGGGAGGACGGGGCTGTAGACGTAGGTCTGATCGTCAAGGTATGCATCCTCGGTGCTACTGCTGCCGTAGCTGGGTGATTGTTGGAAGCCCTGCCCGTAGGGCATGTTGTAATACCTGCTTCTGTATGCCTCATCTCCGGCATAATTTTGTTCTTTTCTGCTGCTCCGGAGTCCACCCGAGTCCTGCGTCTTCTTCAACACGTGGTTCATATTGACGCTTCCCCAGGGCAGACCAGAGAGCTCTGAGTCGTTTGCGAAGTCATCTGCCGTAGGTGTCCGGTAGCTGTTTCCAGCATGCTCTTGATTTCTCATCTCCCTTTCCGCCTTTTCTTTATTGTCCCTGGCTTTCTCGCCTAGAGGGAGGGGAAAGCATAACATTAGTATGTGGTGGCGGCATTGAGTTGAGTATGATAGAGGGCACTTGGGAGACTTACGAAACTTCCTCTGGGCAATTCTATTTTGGATCCGTCTTCTCTCTTCAGGGTCTGTCACATCAGCCCAGTCTTTGTCCTTGGAGGTTGACTTGGATTTCTTTGGAGTCGCTTCGGGGCTGCTTGCTTTCGAGCTGATAGAGCTGTGTCTGGTGCTGCGAGGCGACATTGTGGCTGTGATGTGGATATTGTTGAAGCTTTTACTTTCTTTGTGGTGATCTTTGGTTTTGTAACGCTTGGTATATGTGTGAAATGCGCCTCGATGTGAGAGAAGGGGGGAGGGCGAGGAGACTGCTGCTATATACTGTTGGATGGAGGTGTGGTGGAGTACCAGCGTCTTTTATGTCGAGACTCTGGAGTCCGATCTGGAAGATGTGGCGGCACAAGTATTAAGAGGAGAGATCTTTGGGAGGAATGAAGATGGGAAGACACTGGGAAGAGTGAATCTCGTCTCAGACGGTGGAATGTACGGGGAAGATATACTTTTTGAGCTTCCAATGGCAACATCAGGAGGGGGGAGGACATCTTGGCATAAGAGGCGTGGGTGCTTTTTATATCATGGTAGGGGTGAGTCGAGCAACACCTGGAAAGGAAAAGGTGTAGAAAATACACTCCTGTCCTTCTAGAAATTTGCAAAAGCAGACTAAGATCGCTGGACGGATGTCTTAAGCGACGTAGCACGACCCAGCGGGGAGAAAATATGACCGTATGCGAGCCGCACGGGGGTCTCTCTCAGGGAATACCAGATATTGAGATGGGCCAATGTCATAACGGACCGGTAAGTATGCACGCTTACAGTCCATTTTGTTGACGTGCTTTTGGAGGAGGCGGCTGCAGGACAGGTGCCGGCCCCTGCCGGCGGAAAAGATGTGTCAAGACGGGAGTGAGACCAGCGCCTCATGGCCCTGTCTCGATTGGTGGTGCTCGTAAGACGTTGGGAAAGACGGACTGCATACACCACCCACCATCCACCATCATCCCTACGAGGCGGGCGGAGACATAGAAGTCGCGGGGTGACGCAGACGGGCGGAATCAGCAGCGGACGGCCTGAAAGCTACAGGGCATCCACACCAAACCCTTGCCTACTCTCCTCCCACGCCTGTTTGGAGGCTCGGGCGGCCCTGGTCTGGATGCACCCAGGCGTCGTACATGATCTTGAACGCTGCTGCGATGTGCTCCTCCATTGTGGAGTCCACCGTCTAGGGTTTTCCCATGTCAGGGACAAGCAAGGTTGTGAAGTGTGGTTGTGGATGCTATGGCGATCAGAGAGAGTACTAAAAGTACGGAACCATGGAAAAGAAAGCTGCTGCAGACAGGCGGTGGCATGTAGGTGAGTATGTAAGTCTGCCCGCCTACCTGTGTGACAGCACAGACCCTTGCCTCCCAGCCAGCCAAGGAGCAGCCACATGGCTCGATAAGCGCCGCAATGCCTCCGGCCGATCAAGATGAAGCCCATTGTTCTCCATTTTGACTGCCGTGATTCTCGGCAGCTGAGGAAAAAAGGTGCAAGTGGGCGTGTGGAAGAGGCTGGCAGCCACAATCGAAAGCGGCCTTGGCCTGGTTCGAGACTGGCAATCGTACAGAGCGAAATAGGTCGGTAGGGACCAGCGCAAGATCCAGAAAGGTCCCCACTGCAATTCCCACCCTGATCGCGAGACGGCTGGCCTCTGTGCTCAAAGATTGGAAGGGCGTGCTGAGTGCTTGGGCAGCCAAGTCCAGTGCCTACCTTACCCAGGCGGCCTGCGAAATTCAAATGGGCTGGGCCCACTGGAAATCTTTCTTGTTTCGCTCACATGCATGGCTGTCCCTGTCGGCTCGATGGAGGCATGCTACGCGGACGCAAGTACGTACGTATATGTCAGGAGGAGCCGTGGCCACTTCGCAAGGGTTGATTGCGAGTAAGCGCAGCAAGAGAGGGTTGGGTGTTTGTCGGACCCGATTCGAGGACGAGCGAGCCGGTGTATCTTTGGAACTACCTAGTTGGTAGGCAGTCAGACCATGTGCGTGACGTTGGCTGCTACCTACTTGGCTCGACCGGCGCTATTCACACGACGCAATCGTCCAGATAGGATGATGCATCCCAGCACGCCTTGGGCACACAGGAGCCGTAATGGACTGCCCTGCAACGTCCAACCACCCCTACCTCCTATCATCTGGGGATATCAGCGCCTCGCCAGATTAAAGCGGACTCCTGACGGTTCCCTGATAGGAAAGGCGATTCGTATAGTGCGTATCCACCGATCGCTCAAGGGTTTAGGCTGCACGAGGAAGGCCGCCGCAGATGAAAGCAAAACATGATGACATGGGAGTGGGCAGATGGGCACAAGTCAAGGAGCCCAGGACAGCCATTGTGAAGGACCTTTGTAGGTTCATCTTGAATTTGGTCGAGAGTTGAGTGGGGGTGGAGAAGAGACCCGAGCAGCCCCACCCTGTACGACTCCATCCTCGACCTTGGCTGCTGGGATGGACAGAGGCACCCTGGCGACAAGGCGACGATGGCCGCCCACAGCTCGCGGCAGAGGGCATAAAGGTGCATAATAAGACACCAACTGGAGGCTGGTGTGTGCAGGCAGGCCCTGCTTAGGGTCGGGTAGGTACCTAGCCTGTCCGCTAGCTTACCTTAGCCTGGAGGCCGAGGGCCATATTTAGTGGTGGGCCGACCCAGTTAGAGGATGCACGTCAACGGCCTAAACTCAACAGAGATGTCTCGTCGTGGTGGCTCACGGGCCCCTCCCTGGCCCGGCAGTCGGAGACTATTGGCCAGCGCAAGCTTCAAGCTCTCCCGCCCGCCGCCAGGGGCTTTTCAGCTCTCCGCCGCGGAGACATTGGAGGAACTTTCTGAGGAATCTGGCCGCCAGACAACCTAACAACCTAGGTGCCGCCTGGGACAAGGAGCACAGCGGAGGAGCTGAACAGAGACATAGTCGGATGGAAGCCATCATGACGCCTTGTTCTCTGGCGGAACACGTCATAGTTCCACCATCCTAGATTCGTCCGATTTCTCGAAGCCTCAAATCTGCCGGGCAGTATCGCTAGCCTCAAGCCATCCAGATCTGAATGAGCCAAGCGCCCAAAGGCTCGCAGAAAAAGAAGGAAATGCAGTACAGGAGTCCATTCGTGTACTGTGCTCACGAAGAGGTAGTGAGTATTGACAGAGCCATCAAGTCGTCCAAGGTGGCATCAACCACCTGTTTCTCGGCGTGTGCCTGCCTGCCATTGCCACTGCCACTTGGCTGTTTCACTTTGCTGGTTTTCATTTTGGGATTTGACTGCATCTGCTCTGTTGAGTCAAGGTGAACACCATTGTGCTCCCGATTGATGTCGTGAAGCATGCCCAACAGAGCAAATGCAAGACCTACTTTCCTGCACGGCCTGGGGACACACCCCCCAACCTAGCTGTCATCCACTGATCTTCTGCCAGTTTCAGACCCTACTTACAGGTGAGTGATGGGCAATTGTACCATTTACCAATCACATTGAATCCCGCTGCACGAGAAGGTACCAGAGCTCCTCCTACATGTTCCTCTCCTGATCTTTCCTCCGATTGTGACGAGTGCCCAAGTGTTGGGTGGGGGGGCGTTACCCTAGTGAGGCCTTCTTGCCAAGTCGTCATCCTCAGCAGTCAGATACGGGATGCGAGAGTAGCGGGGAAAAGAGCTATGCCACACCGTAAACTCATCGCCAAGTAGGACTCGGGGCTAAATGCGGCCGCAAGAAGTTTTCTCTGCAATATTGCGCGGGCTTTTCGTGAGCTACTTGGTGGGTTGCTGTTAAATGCTTGTCTGAATTCCGAGGATAGACTTGAGTCTCGACCTGGCATCAGAGACAATGTTGCATAGGAATCCAATAGAAAGTCGGTGGTGGGGAATCAAGGTAGGCGCCCTACCTA